ATTTAATAACAAATTGTGCCTCTAAAGGTAGAAATTTGAGATATTTAAGCTTCAAGAAGAAAATTTTGACTTTATGGACTGAAATTTTGAGGCCTAGAAAACGGAATTCTAAATTATAAAAATAAACCACATTAAAATACACAAAAAGTTTTTCAGTAGAAAATTCAAAATCTTGAAAAAAATTACCAGTTTTTGTAACTTCTCAAAAGTTTCAATGTGTTTTTAATAATCAAAGAATTGATAAAAATGCTTAAAAACTAAAATTTCGATTAAGGACAGCAGATTTTAATGAATCTAGGATCAAAATTATGAGTTTTAATGCTAAAACCATGCTAATATTTAGAAATGCAAAATTCAATACAGTATCCTTAGCTTTAAAATTGGAATTCAAAATTGCAACTAAGAGAAATTAAAAAAAAAACGTTATTATAGACAAATTTTATGACAACTTTGAAATGAAAGGTTTTTCACCCTTTTTTTGTTAAAATTTTGAAATTTAGTGCCAAATTTTAAGCTTTACATTGGCAATTCTAAAAATCTTAAATTTTCATTTGTTGAACATTAAAAAAGAACATTAATTACCTATTTATAAATCTGAACTTAAAGTTTACAAAAAAATTCTGTGAATCTAATTTCCAAAAAAAATCATCATGTTACGGTGAAAATGCAATTTTTTTCGCCTTTTTAAGTGTTTGACCAAACTTTTTATCTAAAAATGTTGTTTTTTTGAAAAACGAATCGTAGAATCAGTAGAGTGGGTCAAAAATGAAATTATTTTGGCCTTTTTTGAAAGTTTTAGTAAATTTTTCAATCAGAAATGGAATTATTTTCATAATAATCCGAAAAATGATCAAATTATGATAAAAGTAAAATAGATTTTGAACTTTGCGAAGGTTTTCTAACCAGAAACATATTTTTTGTATTTGTTCGAAAATCAGCTAAATTCAGAGATTCCAATAACAACGGTGTTTTTTGTCTTTGTTTGAGTTCTTAGGCCTGTTTTTGAGCTGAAAGTTCATTTTTTCAATCAATTACGACAAAAAATGGTCACTAGTTACATAAACTGTTAAAAAAAAATTAAGTTTTAGCCAGAAACATAATTGTTTCTTAAAATTTATTCAAAAATAAGCCAGCTTTTAAGCAAAACATTCAATTTTTCGAAAAAAATTTCTCAAATTA